ATAATGGAAACAGCTAGGATAACAAGAGTTGTGTTAATATTCAGTGGACACATACAGGGTGACCGGAAAAAAAAGAGACCATTGAAATAGGCAATATCTCCTAAAATAGACTAGTGACATCAATGAAATTTTGCATACATCAGGACAGTTCTATGGAAATTTGTTCCTGAAAGTGTCAATACAAGCAGTTAACTGGTTCAGGAGCTATGATCATTTACATAACATGCTCCAAATAGGCGCAATTGAGACCAACGCAGAGCTGGATACATTTGGCAAATACCCTTACATATTCCGACCTTGTAGTCTGGATGTAGAGCCAGTAGAGGTGGAAATGCTTATTATATGAACTTTTTTTGCATTTTCTGTTTAAACATGATATCCATGTTCAGAAACTGTCGGATGCCCAACGGGCATCCTTGAGGAATTTTTTTGGCGGCCATTTTGAATTTTCACACGTTTTATGTATTTTAGCCAGCATATTAGAACAGAAAACTAGCATACACATAAACATATCTTGCTGTTTTTTCTATAATAGAGTTTTAATATGATGTATACCAATATGTTAGGTTCAAGAAATGTTTCTTGACAAAAATAAAAAAAAATTCAAGATGGCCGCCAACCTTACAATTTATGAAATGTCTCATTCTGTGATAATATCAAATGGATATTAGTGTTTCCTACAAAATTATCAATAAATAATACTAAATACATCTGATTATGATCTCTTTCTCACATATAAAATATCTGAAATGAGTAAAAAGTAACCTACGTAATAATAATGATGTTCCAATAGGGTCATTTCTTGGTGCTATATATATCTTGAATTTATGAATTCTCTTCTTTTACTAAGATTTCATCAAGGATTTCCCTCAATAAATCCTCATCAGTTTCTTCCAATTCCTGTTCAGTTACTGTCTTTGTATGTTGGTTATTGCATTCATTCCCCTTGCAAACACAGAACAATGTACATGATAAAGATGCCTTCGAGCATGAACATCGCCCAGTTCTACATACCTTGCCCTCAGATGCACATGTGCACTTAATGAGCTTGAGAATTCCTTCAGGGGCACAGGGTGTATCCTTGGGCATTGTTGTTGGGACAAGTGAGCCCGTGCTATTAATTTCCCAACCATAATCTGTTGGAAGGATAAGTGGGGGGTCAGGCATATCAGCATTTTTCCATATAGCTACTTGGAAATGAGCTCGCTTCACATGCTGGAAAAATGCTTCTGTTGTTGGTGGGAGGGATTTTAGCTTTGGTGCATTTGTAATGTGTTTTGCAGCATTTAATTTGCCCATACAGCAGATCTCACATCAGACATTTTGTCTGTGACTTTAGGTGTAATTCCATAACATCTAGATACAAATTCTGTTCAAGTTTTCTCAACTTCAGTCATGTCTGCAGTGACATCTCCCAAGTTAGTGAGTGAGTATCTATTTAACACCTTCAGGACTGTTAGCTTGCCAATTCCATGCATGCAAGATGTCGTATCACTGCCAGAGAGACCATGCGCAGCTAACAAGTTTGGGATTTTTAATTTGTGTTCATTTACGGTTGCATTAATGTTGATGTTTGCTCTGCCAGATGATGTTCCCTCCATTATCACTATTTGATGAAAATGGAGAAATTAATATCACAACTTCAAAATCAACACTGAAACAAAAGTTACAGATTGAGGTGACCTCAAGAGGAAACAATTGCAATGTACGTGTCGTTGATGGGTGTGCCATCCTTTGGATCATAACATGGCCGATGGCTGGCAAAATTGAAAACTTCTGTATTGCTTTACTAAGTACATCCTGAGATTCCTAACCGAATCAGATGTATACCTTATCTTTGACAGATATAAAGACAATAGCATAAAGAACAGCACCAGGTCATCTCGAGCTCAATCAGCCAGGAGAGTGTATAAGTTCAGCTCTGACACACCTCTCCCTATACAGAATGTTGTACTGAATGCGACTGAGAACAAGGTCCAGATGATAAAGTGTGTCATCGACCATCTCACTCAAAAAGCTAGTGAAGGATCATTCTCCAACATCCTTGTTATCACAGGTCCTGATCCAACACCTGTACAAATTCACAAAGGCAATATTGACCAACGTAATGACTTGAGGAACACTCAAGAAGAAGCAGATGTTGTTATCGTACACCAGGTTCTGCATGCTGCCAGTAAAGGCCAACAGAATATCAGTGTACTCAGTGATGATACTGATGTTTTCCTACTACTTCTTCATCACTGTCTCAAGCACAAGTTAATGGAAAATAACATCATAATGGAGGGAACATCATCTGGCCGAGCAAACATTAACATAAATGCAACCGTAAATGAACACAAATTAAAAATTCCAAACTTGTTAGCTGCGCATGGTCTCTCTGGCAGTGATACAACATCTTGCACGCATGGAAATGATACAACATCTTGCACGCATGGAATTGGCAAGCTAACAGTCCTGAAGGTGTTAAATAGATACTCACTCACTAACTTGGGAGATGTCAATGCAGACATGACTGAAGTTGAGAAAACTTCAACAGAATTTGTTTCTAGATGTTATGGAATTACACCTAAAGTCAAAGACAAAATGTCTGATATGAGATATGCTGTATGAGCAAAGAAAAATGCTGCAAAACACATTACAAATGCACCAAAGCTAAAATCCCTCCCACCAACAACAGAAGCATTTTTCCAGCATGTGAAGCGAGCTCATTTTCAAGTAGCTATATGGAAAAATGCTGATATGCCTGACCCCCCACTTATCCTTCCAACAGATTATGGTTGGGAAATTAACAGCACAGGCTCAATTGTCCCAACAACAATGCCCAAAGATACACCCTGTGCCCCTGAAGGGATTCTCCAGCTCATTAAGTGCACATGTGCATCAGAGGGCAATGTATGTAGAACTAGGCAATGTTCATGCTCCAAGGCAACTTTATCATGTACATTGTTCTGTGTTTGCAAGGGGAATGAATGCAATAACCAACATACAAAGACAGTAACTGAACAGGAATTGGAAGAAACTGATGAGGATTTATTGAGGGAAATCCTTGATGAAATCTTAGTAAAAGAAGAGAATTCATAAATTCAAGATACAGGTATATATAGCACCAAGAAATGACCCTTGTGGAACATCATTATTATTACGTAGGTTACTTTTTACTCATTTCAGATATTTTATATGTGAGAAAGAGATCATAATCAGATGTATTTAGTATTATTTATTGATAATTTTGTAGGAAACACTAATATCCATTTGATATTATCACAGAATGAGACATTTCATAAATTGTAAGGTTGGCGGCCATCTTGAATTTTTTTTATTTTTGTCAAGAAACATTTCTGGAACCTAACATATTGGTATACATCATATTAAAACTCTATTATAGAAAAACAGCAAGATTTGTGTATGTGTATGCTAGTTTTCTGTTCTAATATGCTGGCTAAAATACATAAAACGTGTGAAAATTCAAAATGGCCGCCAAAAAAATTCCTCAAGGGTGCCCGTTGGGCATCCGACAGTTTCTGAATATGGATATCATGTTTAAACAGAAAATGCAAAAAAAGTTCATATAATAAGCATTTCCACCTTCACTTAAAATATGGCACTTCACATCCGGACTATTGTTATGGCATTACATTTAGCATCTATTGCCACCTTTAGGTCAGCAATTGTCTCAGGATTGTTTTGGTACACATTGTCTTTCAAATTGCCCCACAAAAAGAAATCAGGTGGATTCAAATTTGAGGTGTATGGAGACGAAGCTTATCTGACCTATGGCTTCTGACTCAGTGGTCCCACTCAGTTACAGTATCATCCTAAGGAGGTTTTGGGCAGCCCTTGGTTTTCATATGGGATTTAATTGTGCCATATAGTGGTTTTAGTAACATGGCACTATGCCCAATACCTAAAGTGACTCTTAAGATTTGGTAAATCAGCACTTTGGCAACAGGATGATGAACCACATGTCAGATAACCCTTCATTGCCATTACAGCCTAGACTTGAATCCTGCTGATTTCTTTTTGTATGGATATTTGAAAGACAATCTATACCAAAACAATCCTCAGACTATTGTTGACCTAAAGAAGGCAATCACTGCTATATGTAATGCCATAATAATGCCATAGAGGGCAGAACATGTAAGGGTAGTTTGCCATATGAATCCAACTCTGCGTTGGTCTCAATTGTGCCTATTTGGAGCATGTTATGTAAATGATCATAGCTCCTGAACCAGTTGAATGCTTGTATTGAAACCTTCAGTAACAAATTTCCATATAACTGTTCCAGTGTATGCAAAATTTCATTGATGGCACTTGTCTAGTTTAGGAGAAATTGATTACTTCAATGGTCTCCTTTTTTTCCGGTCACCCTGTATAAACAAACTACATGTAACTTGCTTATATGTTTTTCAATGTACCATGTTATGACTGTCCCTGCTTGATGCAAGCATTTCTTATAGTTGTCCCTGCTTGATGCAAGCATTTCTTATAGCTGTCCCTGCTTGATGCAAGCATTTCTTATAGCTGTCCCTGCTTGATGCAAGCATTTCTTATAGCTGTCCCTGCTTGATGCAAGCATTTCTTATAGCTGTCCCTGCTTGATGCAAGCATTTCTTATAGCTGTCCCTGCTTGATGCAAGCATTTCTTATAGCTGTCCCTGCTTGATGCAAGCATTTCTTATAGCTGTTCACGCTTGATGCAAGCATTTTTATGCAAAATGATACAAAATACATGAATGCTAACATCCATGTATATATCTGATTTTGAAAACACAATGAAAGGGTAGTACATAAGATATTTACTGACATTTTGGACTTATGTTTAGTATTCACGATTCAATATCACAAAATCAAAGCTCATAACAGAAATATTCAACTAACCAATCAAAACCAACCTAGCTTTGGACACTACGGTATGTCTTAAATATCTAAGAACTTATCTAAAATTCTAAATATGCAACAATTAACGAAAGATGCAAATACTGGCAAGCTATATACACTACCTCATTGACTTTCTCGTCCTAGACACACACAGCATTGTTAGTAAGGAAACAGAAAGAATATCATGAATGTTCAACTATATATCACAACAATGTGTGGAACACAATTCAATCGTATCATATCATATCATATCATATCATAATATAATATATCATATCATATAAAACATGTATCCAATATCCAATAAAATATTTCATGACTTTTGAGTTTTCCCAACAAAATTCAAGCGAGAGGAATCATTATGAATTGAATAATAACACCAAACTTGTATTTGTAATTTCGTAAAAACATTTAGGCATGAAATATTTTAGAATTATGTGAATATGATATACATATATGTGCAATAAAAGTACACCACATGACAAAATATCTATGTTATTTTACATAACTATAAAGCAAATTATTTTCGATTTTACGAGAGACAATATCAAAAAGGACTAGAATTATAATGCATTTAATTTACAATATGAAAATTATCTAAAAGCGTAAGCAGAGATGTTTTCTCATTTACAACAGCAATATTGTTACAGCGCGTATAGTATTGACGTTTATTAAATCTAAGGGCAGTGACATCTTTTAATGAAGTATACATTAATTATGAGCCAAGCTTGTTAGGCCATTATTCTAATTTGGACTATATAATTATGATATACCATATGAATACAAAAGCAAAGAAACTATCACAAAAATAAAGAATAAAACCCTTCCCAATTATATCAAAATAGAAGCCTAAATTAATACCTGAGGCATCAATTTGTTTTGAATTCTCTCTAATTTGCTGACATATTACTTCAATGAACATTTACAAAAGCAAAACTGAACGCATTTTGACACTACATTTCTTTATAAATATTACAATGTTACATTATCCAAATCCACATAAATAAGACACTTAGAATATATTCTATATCAAAATATGTTTATTACCAAATGGCGATATTTCCCTGGATACTGCAATTAGATGAAAATTAGTTTGATTTGATGAAATTAATCAAGATGGTTGGTTACCATAGTTACCGGTGAGTGATAAGATGATGAGTCAATTAATGTGAAAACACTCTCCCAATCCTGATGTTATAATTATTTTTAAGGATTAATTCATTTGACATATAATAATTGCTAAATGGCCAGAGACAATCAGTTGTGGTGCAAACATACAATTATTGCCAGCCATAAGTTGTACAACACACATTATGTACAATCATTCATTTAAACACAATCTTGCAATACAATTAAGTACAATATATGTATATGGTATATGGTACAATGAACCTGTTTGTTGATTACCCAGTAACAAAAAATTACAAGAAATCAAAATAACTTGGGAGGGGTTTCACGAAATCAGAAGTTGTTTTCAAACCCTTTACTTATTTACTGATCCCAGAGAGATCCCAAAATGTAAATATGTTATATGATTTTAAGTCAACATCTTGAAATTATCTGTTATATGGGTACATACAATGAACAGGCTTGTGTTCATTAAATCATGAGAACAGCAGCAAAGGACCAGGCATGGTATGGCAAATGATCTCACACGGTCATATCTTTGACCATGAGTACTTTCTCACCATTAAATATTTATAATTTCTTTCAAGTAAGGTCAATTTCCTCCAAGTAAGTTCAAAGGATAATAAAATTAACAGTCGCTTTCTCCGGGAAACCATGAGGACCCCATCTCAACACATTTTTCAAAATATCAGACATGGGGGCTAAAAATGTGACAAGAACAGGTCCAAAACAATAGTTTTAGTGAGAGTTGGATTGATATATTTATTATCCTAATAACTTCATTCACAAAAATGTAGTATTTATGATCAGAGTAAAGTGATGGTTAAAGATGCGACTGTTTTAATCATTTACCATACCATATCTGGTCCTTTATTCTAACATAAATGCAATGGCATGCATGTTCATCAAATTGTGCATCATTTTATTGCAACTAAATATCCACAATGTTTTTGTAATTATTAGCAATGTGTTTTCATCCCAAACATGCCCAAAAAATGCATGAAATTCTCTTAATGCTAATTAATATTTTAATATTAAGCCATTTCTTCAACCAATCATATCTTGAGATTTATTCAGCCCAAGACTATACTTACAGATTTTGCCTCCTTAAATGCTATTGAAGAGAATCCAGGCTCATAGTCTACTATGCTGCGTGGTTGGTTCTTGTAGACCTCTAGTTTGGACCTGGCATGTGGCGGGGCCCAGGATGATCCGAGACTGTAACAAAAAAAACAAAAAAATTACAAACTAATACAGGGTTTCATTTTCAAATAAGGGACTCCCTTTGGAACCCCTTTCTAGTAAAATGACATTGGTAACCCTAGCCTGTTCAATACAATCTAAATCATGAGACTCACTAAACCATATCTTACATCCCAAAATTCACTCAGTAACTATACCTCAGCTTTATACTCGTATATCCAGGAATTCACTCACTTATAACCTTACACTAAACCTTAGCTAAGATATATCCAAGATTCACTGCCTCCAGAACAGATAATAACAACAGAAAAACTGAGGTAAATACAGTACATCCTAGTAATTTCAAGTCATCCGGATCTTGTAACAAGGGCTCTGAATTTCAATATCATATCCTCAGTATACCAAAAAGTCAATATATCAATGTTAAGAAGTTTCCTAAATATCACACTCTGAATCTAATCTACCATATTCTTACCTTCGCCTATTGCTTTGCTTGTCCTGAAGCATGGAATATGATGCGGCCATGCTAAAGATGCATCAAATACCCTTCTTATAAATCCACTCAAATTATCCACTAAATTAACCCGTACCTGTAGCACTCATGTTAAAAAATATTCAAACTATAATATACAGCTAGTCCCTATGCAGAATCTATCTTACATTCTTGTCTATTTCGATGAGCTCAATACTACAAAACTTCTAAACACAACTAAATCTTATCTTTAGTACACTTCATATTCATTTGGTCGCTTGTAGAATTATTGCTCTACTTGATAGTTGACATATTTCTAGGACTCTAAGAGTAAGTGCTATATGGTACACCTTTCAATAGTAAATCCCCTTTTCTAGAACATTAAGGTAAATACATATCTTTTAACATAAACTACTAAAATTGCACTTAAAGAATAGAAAAAATTTAAAGGTCAGTGGGAAGCCTAACCATTGCGATTATCCTATCTCGATGCTACTTTAATTTCAAAAATAAGAGATTGTTTGTCGAACCAACTGTATGTAAAAACATGCCAATGACAATAGAACTTTATCTTTCAATGTCTAACAGAAGTTTAATGATGTCAGATACATTAACTTGACATCACATATCTCATGTCTTAACTACATGTAAGTTATTTATAAATGACTCATAATATACAATAAAACTGGTATGTCTGAACACCTCTCAATGAGAAAACTCTCTTTTTTGATTAATCACCAACTGACCCCCAGTTTAAAGAAAACTTGAAATGTAAACACCTGCCAATAAGAACACTTTTGACTGGTCCCTGAGGAATTCAGATAAGACAGATTTTACTGGAGAACATGTTTAATTTGTGCATGAAAGTTTCTCCAAGGTTTCTTAACCTAGTATTTTGTCTCATGATGAATTCATAATATTTAATATTTTTCAGAATATCTAAAATTCTTTATTCATAAAAATTATCTATTTGCTACATTTAAAATTAACAATTCATACACAGGCAAGTTTTCCCTATATATATTCTTCAATGAGTCAAAACAGTCTTAACAGAAAAATTCTTTAAATATAGCCATTCTTTACAGAATATGTGAAGTTAAAAAATGGCTGTGTATCATGCCATTGTTTTGACAATGAGACTCCCAAATAATAATGCATGTTTTACAATATTTGCTTATAAGATATTGATATCATTAGAGATCACTGATTTGGCCTTGAGAGAGTCTGAGTTTATTTGTCTGAAGATAATCACAAATATATTATAATCCTTCAAATACTTCTACATTATCTTTAAGGTCATACATCTATATTACTAGCTGGTCTCCTAATACTATATTATACTTTCAGCCTCTAAACATCTAATAGCACTACCTTAAATTGGAAGTCTTGACCTAAGTTACATTTAATGACCATAGATAGAGTCCAAAATGACATTTACTTATACCAAATCAAGATTTTATTTTACATTTCAATTACAATATCCCCAAAGTGTCAAGTCAAATCAAATTGAAATTTTGTTGAACTCATGTGGCATGCTCTATTGATCCATAGTGCAGTTGTATTCTTTGATGATAATCACTTACCCCGAGCTAACTTGGTCACGGATGTTAAGTATAACCCGGAACTCCTTAGGAATATAAACCCCTGTCTGATACATTCTGAGGAATTCTAATCCATCTTTAATCCAAAAAGTGTATCTCGACCTAATAAATCTGTACGTTCAATCCTAGTGTCTTTGTTTTACAATAAAAGATTCTCTATATGTAAAATTGGAAGATGTATAATTGAGAGCTGTCATAAAATCGTAATTAGTCAAGAATAAGGCATCCTTAAAAAACTACATTTGATTCCTGTTCTAAGTAAATGATGTACTCTCCTATTTTATGCACTCCCAAATCTTCATTCTCATTCCATCCACACTTTCAAATACTGGTGTATAATAAAAAGCAGATTCAGAGCTAAATTCATTTTTGTATATTTTACAAAAGGTGTTCCAAGCTTCCTTGTTAATGTAAACCTGTCATAATTTCATTACCTGTGAAAGATGTGACAATCACATTTATTGTGCAAGCTGTTCACTGTCGTAGATTGATGTCATAGACACATAGATTAATTACTTCTTGGTGATGTCTATATTAATATCAGTATCAGCTTGTGATATACATGTTTGAAATATTAAGTATTGAAAATCTCATTTCTTATAAGTCAAAGATGTGATTAGGAATTATATAAGTAACATTTAACAGGAAACAAATATTTTATAGAATTTTTCCAATTTTGTAACATAACGGCAATTTTTTCAGCTGGCACCACAGGTCATAATAGCAGTAATTAAGGTCAGGTAGACACACCTGTCCAATATGAACATATAATTAGTGTTTAAATGTATTTTAGAGTGTTTTGAAAGTAATTAAATCAACAAAAATTTAAAATGATTGAATATCTGATGCTATAGAATGGATTTAACAAAGAGATGGAAAGTGAAATTCAATGTTAAGTGTCCATAGCATATTAAAAATTTTCCTGCAATAATGTTCCAATTTTGCAGGGACCCAGGTTAGTCAACTCTACTTAAAATCTGCCATTTACCGTAGACCAGAAATACAACTGTTCTTGGCATGATAATGGTGTACAGGTAAAATAACAAGTCAGTCTTCAATTATAGCAACACTTACCTTTTCCTTGGTCGTTCTGTGGTACTGCTACTATATTCTACGTCACTTGTTGTATCATATGTCGGCCTTGCCTCTGATAAACTCTTACTTCTTGGATAGGTGGCGTATTGGTCTAAAGATCTTGTCTCATCTGAAAATAGAAATTATTGGTTTTCAGTCAATACGTAGACATAAATTGATCAAATAAACTAGCATTTAAAATTAATACCTTTTCATAAATGACTAACTATTACTGTTATTGACAAAATAATGAGTAAACTTGATACCCGATTCACATATTTAATTGATTATGCAATGGATATTGAACATGTGGAGGTGAAAGGCCCAAAAACATTCCCACTCACACTACCATATGACAAAATATTTTTTCCAGATTTATATGTTGCACCCATGTTATCACTTCATATCCTATGTTTTAATTATTCATCGTACACATACCAAATCCATTTGATACATATTTTGTATATATTCTTTATCCATGTAATAAATATCAAATCCATGGGATATATTTTGTATCCATAGGATATACTTCCTATTCAAGGGATATATTTTATATCTATTGGATATATTCTATGTCTACAGGATACATTTCATATTCATAAAGGACATATGGGATATGTTACGTATCTCACCTTTATCCATGTCCCTGGAGTATTGACTAGTGGGGAACATATAGTTGGGAGTGTAGGGATTCTCATCTGCAAAAAACAATACTCAACGTATTAATAACAGCAATTCAAATATGACAATGCAAGGTTATACTTTATAGATAGGAAACAAAACTTTGTAGAAAGTTTATCCAAGACAGTCAGTATATTCATCAAGAAGAGTTTTTTTTATTTCACCATCTTTAAAAAGCTGGTGAATTCGAAATTGATTATGATACAATTTAATATATTTAATGCATTTGTCATTTGGAAAAGCAGGAACTATGTGATTAACCCTATCCAAAACAACAAAGGTGCCTCTCTTGTACAGTACAAATAATATAAAGCCAATAATTAATTAGCTAAAAACAATTCCTGAAAATGAACAACTGTAAAATAAAATCTATGTGTCACACTTTGTCAAACAAAATACATGTAAGTGAAATAGATCTAGACTGAACTGGACTATATTCACCATGGCTTCAAATAAAAAAAATTCTGAGTCCTCCCAACTACTCTGAAATCATTTATTCAAATGTTGTTCAATATCAAGAAAAATTCATCTAAATTCTCAATATCATTGTGCCCCTTGAATGAACACTGGTGTGTTTCTGAAAGGTATGTTCCAAGACAAATCCTTTACCTGTACAATGTACATGAGGAATAGAAAATGTGGCAAATGGTGAATATAAGTCTAAGCTTCTTATAAAAATGAAATACCTATATTCAAATGTATATACACAAGTATGAACTGAAAACATTTGAAAGAATCATGGTTGCAGATATAAGAGATATCAAGCTAACCATGATGTTTCATATGAAAATGTGAAGTTAGAGAAAGCAACAACATAGCATGCTTTGTTAAACAGACTGAAAAACATAATTGCAGAGCATTAACCAATCATAACCACTGTTACATCCACCAATTTCGTAAACAACACATGATTGGTTGTTTATTAGAGGTAAATATAACAATGATTCTGATTGGCTCAGAAATCAGGTCAAGGTCACATGCAAGTTCACTGACCTCCAGGAGGATTTATGATTATACGAGGAGAACGAGGGCGAGGTTTGGGAGGTATGGGAGGCCCTACAAGAGGTATAGGAGGCCCTACAAACAACAAATAAACAATATTGTAATACACCAAATAACACAATGTTAAGTGATGAGAAAACCCCAGTCCTAAGTTATAACCTGTTGTGAAACATTAATTTTATAAATCATAATTCATCATCACTCTTAATCATGTTTATGTGTCAGATTCTGCTAGATGAAACCTTAAACATTCATATTTTCATATATTAATAATCTTACGTAATTCCTTAAATATTGTTAAACATCTGCAAGTGAAAATCTTATAACTAAAAACTCTGTGGTTATTTGTTAATTCACACATGTAATTAATAACTAAATGTTAGAGATTGTGTATTGGTGGTTTTGGTGTTTATGGTAGAGGATAAATTGGACATTTTGTTATCACAATGGGCTAGAAGACACAACATTGAAATCCTTATCCCATGTTATGGTTAGCTAGTGTCGGGTGGTACATGGTTGAAAAGCTACCTTCGGAATCCTCACGCCATGAATCATCGTCGCTACTGGGTGGATGCTCACGAGCCATGCGCCTAGCATCTTCAAAACTTTTAGGAAAGGTATAAGTTGGTTTATAATCCTTTATGTCATCGCTGTGTGTTTTATTCAAAGATCTGTCTTGAGTTGATTCATCCGTATCACTAGGTGTAGGTTGAATTTCTACATAGTTACCAGGGGTAGCATCTGGCTGATGCTTGTAATTAGGTTTATATCTTGCAACATTTAGCGGTTCGGGAATTGCTTCAAAGTATTTAAGAGCATTGCGTGTTAGTTTTGATTTAGGAACAGGTGGTTCAATGTGTTTTTCTTCCAACAAGGTCTTATTTGGCTCATACCAATATTTGCCTTTGTCAGCCTTTGGTGTCACTGTCTTACTTTCTCTCTCTTGAGGGGAATGTTTTGGGGGATCTTGGGATGTATAGTGACCCTCCTCTGGTGATTCTTCTTTTGAATTTTGAGATTTATTGATTGGGAATTTGTATGTTGGGGTATATGGGGGCATTACTTCCTTTGTAGGTTCATTTATTCTTGCAGGGAAACTATATGTTGGTAAGTAGGTCAAAGCCTCATTTTCATCTTTAGCAAACGGAACCTCAAGTTCTGATTCAGTCTCAGTTTCGGTATGAATATCTCTTGCAGCTATCTTCTCCCCTGTCTTAGGAAATGTATAAGTTGGTGAGTATGTGTTAGGGTGATCTATTCTTTTTGGAGAATAACTATTTAACTGTATATCAATCTTCCGAATTTCTTCTGCAATATCTGGGCTACCAACTTTTAAATGTTTATCAATATATTTGATCTCCTCCAAGATTTCACGGTCAAGTTTGTTCACCTTCATTAATTCAGAATCAATCTGAGAATTAACATCATTTTCTTCTGTTCTATTGGAGAATTCGGCATCAAGCGTTGAGTTTGAAATTTTCTTAAATGTGTCTTGATTTTCCTTAGGGACTGATGGGGGATTGGGTTCTGAAAGTGTAGTGGATAAAATAAAATTAATAGGTCGTGGACTGAAGGTGAATTTACTACAACTATCTAGCATATGGCTTCAAGTTTAGTAGGAAATTGGGAAACATTCACTAGCCCTAAAACTACATATGGTTCAACAACAACATAGAAGACTCATTTGCTGAAATCAAAAATGATCCCAAAACCTAAATCAATCCAACAACAGAGGTGTATCCATGCATAACAACAGGTATTCAACCTAACCTAAAAATACCACTTCATATTTCACAGTGACATTTGGGTGAAGAAAAACGACACAAATTGTGTTGATTTAAACTTTGCATTCAAACCAAAAGGGACCAATTATCTGACCTGGACGTTTGACCTCATCCTCTGGAAACTTGTAGGTCGGTGAATATGGATTTTTTTCTGTAAAAAATATATGTGCCTGTTCATGGAACACATTTATCAACACATTTAAATCCTTCCTAAATAATACTCGAAGATATGTACTGAACATGTATTCTAATATTTAATTTGCCTTTAAATCCAAATCACTTCTAGTATTTGCACACATTGACCTCTAACCTTTAGGTACGACCTTGACCTCAGGTGGGGGAAATTCATACCGAGGCTCATAAGTATTGGAAACTAAAACAAAGGGAAGAAGATTAGTAAATTAAAGCTAAATTCAATATGTTTAATAACCAAAACAAATGTTATCCCACAATTAAGCTAAATGGTTCATTAACTTGGGGGGGGGGTCATTAGTGATGGATTCTGCCTATTTTAAAAAGTCAGTTCAATAGAACTAGGAACCTGTGTAACCCCCAACTAATATGAAAGATAAATCAAATTATGAAACCAACTGAGACAAAAATAAAAAATAAATATAATCAACATACATCAGGAAATAAAAATGCTTCACACTGACAAAAAATAAATCAAGCTAAGACAATATGCCCATATATGGAAGAATGCAGTTCACACACACACCAAGCCAAAACTGACCTTGACTTTTTGACCTCGAGGAGAGCTTAGGAAACTTGTACGTTGCCATATAAGGATTGATATCAGAGGCTGGAAGAAACGAGGAGAGGATAGAAAGATAAAGAAATTGCGATTCTAACAACAATGCAAAACATCTACTAATACATGTCCATTTAAAGGGACATATACAGAGAAACAATTCTACCTAGAGGGTCATAGATTATATGCATAGTTGTTCATTTAACTCAGGTTCCTTTATGAGATCGTATATGCATACAGCATATATACTATCGCTTAATATTGGACATGCAGGGTCTAAATTTACAGAATATCAACCCATTTCAGTTGAATTTTTTCATATGAGAATCCTTATTAACCTAAACAGTAAAATCATTCATGTATATAAAAACTGCAAACACTGATGCAAGCTCAAAACATTGTATATATACACTACACAAACATTTTCATAAACAAAAACAAACAAACAAACAAGCAAAACAAACAAACAAAGTTGGGACAACAAGTGTGTTCTGATGAACTGAAAAAGTGATCAATTCTATCATGCTATGGCTAACATTATGCAACCAAAGGGATATCAGAATGAGGGAAAACTAGAATACAAGCTCAAAATAACAATGCTAGATAAAATACAAACTGAAACGAGGGGACAGAATGTGATAACGTGGGTACTTCAAAATGATTTTCCATTATCATACTCATTTATGAACCTTATAATAAATAAACCATCGCAACCTACATGTAGCAAAGCCCATACTCCATGAAAGAATAATTAAACATTCCCTAAATGCTTATTTCTTCAAAATCAATTCCAAGCAGAAATATCCTACTCTGGTTTCTATGGCAAATGAATGCTACTCTGGTTTCTATGGCAACTTTATGGCATTCAGCATTCTATGATGACAATATGTTACTATATTTCCAGTGCAAAAAGTGTTACATTGGATTCCATAGCAACAAAGTGATACTCTGGTTTCTATAGCAGCATCATGCCACTCCAGATTTCAAAGTATCACAAAATGGTCCTGATGTATTCATGGTTACTACAGCAAAATAAAACATATCTACAATGGACGCCATTGCAAAACAAAAAAATGATCTGGTATCTAAGGAGACAGCACAAGTCTCTGGTTTCCATAGAGACAAGTGCTAACTAACCTTCTAAAACAGGGTCTTCCCACCAATCAGGTACAGGGAAGACATAGATGGGCTTATATGGGTCTCTCTTGGACCTATTTGCTGTAAATATCAACAACAGAAAAGGGAAATAAAATTATGCTAAAGAGCTAGACTATGCTAAATTATGCTAGATGTAAATTTAGATGATCAGAATAACATTGTTTGAAAGGTCTAATTACATGGATGTCAATACCAGTCTACAAGACAGTGGTGAAAATGTCTAATTGAGAGCCTCTGCATAATAATAAATCCTTAGGTGTCCTGAACAAGTGAGCCAAATTGGGCCATGTTTAAAGACAAATTGGGCCATTTTTAAAAACAAGAGGGCCAGAGACATACCATTCTGGTTTACTAGACCCCTCTTATCTGTATTTTGCAACACTTTGAAAACATCAAGACAAAGGAGGGCTGGTTATCACGATGAAGATATACTGGTTCTAAGATATACAGTGTCTTCATCGTATAGGGTTGACATGTAATATATGTTTATAGTAAAGAGATAGAGAAGCTGAAGCTAACAGTAAGGTTGAAGAGAAAGTGCAGACATAAGCAGTTTATGATTCACAGGGGATCAGTTTGCTGTCATCACCCCAGAGTTGTATATTAACCTAGGATTTACTTAGTATGAGATTTTGAATATCTTGCACACAGCCAAAAACAGGTGAGATTATGAAACATCTAGAAATACTGAATGACTTCAGACATTTCTTCATTAGAATAATGAAAATAAAAAATTTACAGAGTTGAAGAAAATTCTTAAAAGAATCCTAAGCCTTGTCGGAATGGAGCTATTATATGCATTAGCTGGTAAATGTAATGGCAAAGAGATGAAATGTAATGACTATGATAGGGAATGGATTGATAAGTTACCATGGTGTAATACTACCATGACAACGGTGCAAACACAATACAACATTACAACAATTATTGTGCATATACACCACAATACTCTAAACATTTAACAACAAATAAATCATGAATGAAATTAATATGTACAATAAAAATATATATCAATGACACACAATAATGACATAAACTGTAATTCAGTCTTGGGTTCTTACAGGAAAACATGACAGTTATTTCAATAATTGAGGATTGTTCAATAGATGAGGATATTTGAATAACCGAGGATGTTTCATTTATTGAGGATAATTCAACAAATGAGGAAAGTTTCAATATCCAAGAATGTTTTAGTTGTTATTCATTGAGGATATTTCAACTGTTGGGAATATTCAAATATCCAAGGATGTTTCAATAATTGAGGATAATTCAATTATTTAGGATATTTAATAATTCAACAACTGAGGCAATTTCAATAAAGGATCAATAAATAAATGATGATCTTTATTTGACTGTTTGTTTATTACCTTCCTGTTTGGTGCTACCTTCTTCATCGGAAGATTCTGGAAAGGTATATGTCGGTGAGTAGGGGTTCTCATCATCTGCAAGACAAACATTATGATTTTAAACCTTAAGCTCCCAAGCGTGCAGCCATGCCCTAGGTGCAGTTGGTGAAATCTAAATTACAGTAGCATTTCCCTTGACAAAACAATGAGATATGTGACTGATGATTGCCAGTTTGTGGTGCAATTTGTGAAGTATACAACGCCACTAAAGGGGCTCAAACTATAACTCTGACCCTGGAAACATCATCATAGGCTGCAATTTGCAACATTCTTGTCTGTAAATATTTAACCTTGAAAAATTAGTAATAAACATGACAAGTGTGCATTTCAAGAGGTACAAGCCATACATTTTATAATTTTTGCAATACAATGGTCCACCCTAAACTATAATATTTACAGAAAAATATACGTGTACCAAAAAAACTATTTCATTTATAGATGAAGGTATGAGTTGCTCCGAATATATTTAATTGCATTTTGGGATCAGAGTTATAGACTGAGTTACTTTAAATGAGAAAAAATATTTCAAGAATTTTATCACATTGATCAGAAAAACAACATAAGAGATTGAAATGACTAATCTTCAACTAAATCAACTTAAAACTAGCCGACTTTAACAGAAATAACAGAAATAAAAATATAAAGTTACAAACAAAATATCCAAAAATAGGTAAATGTGTACATGGACATAGTTCACTTTGCTTGCTCTTACGCTGATCTATTGGTTATTATCATGTATAGATGAAGGTATATATTCATACCCTTTGCATTTATTAACCAAATCTTAAGATGTCTATACTCATAAATTATGTACTTATAATACTGAAGTACCAAAATCTGATTATATTAACCAGTACAAATAGTACAGAAACCAATATGATACACATTTCAAACAACCTCTTCATATTAGAAGAAATAAAAGTATGAAATAATTGTATGAACTGTTGAAAATAATTTTTAATGTGACAGATATGCACTTTGACAAAGATGACTAGAATTAGAAGATGAACTCAAGATAACTGAAAAGACATCATTAACTTTTTTAACGTTATTCTCTATCTTGCAAAATGTGATATTGATAATGAAAAGCTTGTGAAGGCCTACATTTATAAGCCCATTACATACACACCATGTGCATGGACAACTTTGTACATGTACTTAAGTTCCAGGTGAATTTAGATTAATATCTGAAAATATAACAATCAGAGGTCAGATTTTGAAACAATTGTACTTCAATGTCAATGTCTTCAATTCAAACCATGACCTATTTAAAAATGGAATCCTGAATCACCCCATCTGTGACAATCAAAACTTAAAAGCCCTAGCGAGGCCAGATTTGACTTTAAGCACATAATTATGATTAAGTTGCTGAAGAATTCAAACATGTAAAGCCATATAAACCAATGAAATCATTAATAATATTAAGAGCAAGCAATGTGATTCTACCTAGACATGTAAAGCCCTATAAACTATACCAACTGATAAAACTATTGAGACTATTGTGAATATTGTGAAATAAGAGCTTACCTCTTTTGGGCTGCTTGTGCAATGTCTTGTACATCTGTTTGTACCAGTCCTTCTGGTTTTTGTCATCAATGTGCTGAAATACAAGAGAAGTTAGTGAATTGACAGAAGATACAAGGGTTATCCCATAGAAGAGTTTGGATATGGAGTATATCCCGAGGGAACATAATTTCATATTCCATGAGAACTGGTTTAAGGTAAACTAACAAAAGTAAAATTGAAATCTGGCAAATTCTTTCTTCCAGAGTTAATTTTTATTTTTCCATTTCATAGATATTTGAATTTATTAATCTTCATAACAAACTATGAATGAATGAGAAACCCAACTTGTTCAAAACATATGCATTTACATAATATCACACAAGAGAATGTTATGTTACAGGGGATCTTAAAATACTACATTTGGAGTCTTTCTTTATAGTTAAACAACATAATCTAATGCCCAGCCTCCAGGAAACACCTCCAACTGAAGCATTCATTCATTCACATAGGCCATGTTATCTTGGGGCATTGTATTGGACTGATAAAAAGATACAGGCATTGTGTGAGTAAACATCCATGTACCTCTGATTCCTAAATGCAGCATGGTTATAAAACAGACAACAATTTATATGGGAATACAGTACATGTACAATATACATGATGTGTAAGCCAAGATGCATTATGCATATTCTACGTTTAATTCATTGCATTTGGAGACAAGAATATACATTGTACATGTAGCTAGAATTTTATATCTTATGGGTTGAAGATGTGGTGTTAAAATGGTTTCAGAATAACAGCAACACCCTTTTCCATAATCTTATGAAAATGGAACTCCCCAAACGACATGATTTATGATATAAGGTGGTGCAATACATTATTATTAGGGTTAGCCTTGCTACAAGGACTATAAGGGAACCCAGGGTTGTTTGCATGATTTAAGATGTTAACTCCTAGGTGATTTTGTACTTCAGAAGTTCCAAAGATATGACGGAGAAAATTGACATTTAGTATGTGTTATATACTGCACAGTAAACCTCCCATTCCCTAATTGAAAATCACCTTTTTTCCTTTTGTTGGTATATATATCTCTTCAGACTGGGTCCTCGATTTTCTCTTTTTAAGAAATCAAAGAAAGTGTTATTATAATTTCTTTAAATGATGAAAAACATTAGTCTCAGTAGAAATATCTCTAAATCAAGATACTTCACAGCTAGTACTGAATTACAATTTGTTTTAAAAAGCAATTGACTATTTTGCTGTAGGGCAAATGGATAATATGAAAAAATGAATTACAAAAGTGACGAGTGGCAGCAATCTAAGCAAAATCAAGTGCATGAATGAAAACCAAACTATGATAAAGACAACAAAATGCTATGCTAATGGATCAAAACTCAGGACGTTACTTACAGATCTTAGCCCGACAGGCACTCCCTTTTCATTGGTTGGCCCAATGCCTTGATATTTCGGGGCTTTTTGTTCAATCTTTCTAGTGGTTTTGGTTTTCTCACCAGAGGGCACTAAATAATATTGGTCGGTGTGCTTTATTTCTCCCTCAACTTTTTCTTCAGTTCCCACATAAACAGCACCTTTTGGTATCTGGCCCTCTGGAAACAAACAAAAAAAATCATAAATATAATTTTAAAGATGGTACCCATAGGTACAATATCATTGCCATATATAGTATGTTTTACAAAAATACTACATAATTGTACAGGTTTTGGTTGCTGGGCAATAGCATTACCAGCAACATTATGGGTTATATCCATGGGCAAATGAACACCATGCTGTATTATAGTCTATTATAATACAAATGCTGTAGTATGATAGATTAGAGTGAAATAAGCAGGAATATATACAGGAATATATCTAATATTGTTCAGTAATTTCTCAATTCGTTAAAAATCACAATATTCATGGTAATGAAAAACTGATTTGTAATTTAACAATTACATTCGATCACTGAGTTTTCCTTTTATTTCAAGGAATTTTGATGCAAAACCAATTTGTGTGCACATTTTGACACTTGCGGATGGAAGGTATACAAAATTAACGAAATCACTGAGATAAAAATTCCCCTACGATGAAGCAAAATGAAAAATTATTCCGGGTGCAAATGAGGAAAAAGCACAAGGAAATACATAAATCTGATAATTAATCAAAAAATATAAATTGTGAAGTTGAAAAAGTATCTCAACTAAAAATGACATTTGGACTGATTGTAACAATCCAAATCATGTATGGACCCATAATGCTTTACTGTACTCTTCAACCAGCTATCTTCAGCTTACAAACAATTGATCATTTCATTCCAATGAAAAGCCTTGTAGACATATAAGCAGGAAATAATTCAAAGGGGAGAGGATGTTCCACTCATGAGCAATACAAGCAATGTATATTTGACAAATTGCTGTTCTAAACTACAAAATGTCGCCCGAAGGTTTTGGCACAAAATTGAACCAATACAAACAGAATCGTACATTATAGTCTTTATGACCTTGTATTTGGCAACTGTCATATAGACATCCAGGTATGCCTACTTGGCAATACTATGTTGACATGAGTATATATATGTCAAGGTACAGCATATCCTTTTGTGTGATTACCATATTAGATAATGCACTGTCTCCAACCTGTCATTATCAAGTGATAGGGAGCATGGAAAGATGTGGTAGCCACAATTCAACGGGATGTTTCATTTTGCCTTACAGGGTGTTCACTTTCCACAGATTTTACTGTAATCAGACATACAATAGCTAAGGAAAATATAAGATCAATGGCAAATGATTAGTAAGAATTTCTTGTCTCCCTGTAATACATGTGTAATGTGTATGGTCGTCAATCATCAACTTTTAAAAACATTAGCACACAAGGCATTAACATGCAAAATGTCACCACTTGCAATTTGTTACAGATGCAAAATACCTACCGCCAGACATTGAACACCATCCAAAAAAAGTTGGAGACTGTAACAATATGTCATCACCATTTGTGGCAACATAATAAAATCATAATCATTAAAAAATAAGATATTCATTCAAAGAAGGAATCAATCAAGCATACAAAACAATCAAAATTATTAGAAAATGCTGAGGAAATTTAGAGTGCCAAATAAATGTGTGAAATTACTATATTAGGTATTAAACTAAACTAATAAAGAAAAGCAAAACAATACAAAAAATATATAAATAAATAAAAATTAAGACATAGAACTGGTAAAGTATACCTTTTACAAGGTTGTTAACATGCGTCCTGGTTGTAACGATCACCATATTCATCATGGCCTGTTTGAATTCAATCTCCCCGACAATTCTAACACTAACTGTGTTCTCCATTAAATTTCCCTCTCGAATTATTCCAGTTTATCAAAATCTCAATTCCTGAATTTGACTTCAAATTTCTATTCTCATTATTTTCAGTATAGAGAGAAGACGAAGTTCTTGAATTTGATGTACGATTTTCTATGTTCACTCAGCACAGTTGTATAATCAAAACAGTGTTTCTTTATAGCTTTGAGCCCCATTGATCTCATGTTATTACAAGAATCGTGAGATAAGAGACCTCAGTGGTTCAATTTCAATGAAAACCAAATGGTATTATGTCACATTAACTTCCAGATCAAGGAATATCATTGAAATAAAGAATAGGATTAAAGTAACATGAAATTCCTGTATAATAGGATCTGGAACAGTATCGTATTTACTCATAAATGGCTTTAGTATAAACCAAAAATGGATTGATGAATTAATCCCTTGTATGGTCAAAGGTTATCAAAAGAATAGAAAATTAGTTATTTCAAACCGATAAAAGTGTTGTTTTTGACAAAGATTTACAAATGTCTAAAAGTTGAGTACTTGTATTGTAACAGCACAAGAACAAAAATTAGAGATTTTCTCAAAATAAAAGATTCACACATTTTGACAGTTCCGCTATAAGTAGCGTATGGTGAATTGTTGTGGCAGAAAAACATGCTTACCAGTAGAATAAATGGTTCTGATGTCAGTGGGTAAGAAGGCATCATCATCTGGAAAATGCATGGCGTGCGTTAATCTAAGCCTACAGAACAGCATGCCATACAGTCAGTACAATACAATACATCTCAGTATAAGAACTATGATGTATGGTAGAGTACTATATAAACTTGTATAATACACAGTACAGTACCATACAAATCTGCACAGAGTAAAGTACCGAATAGTACTGCCCATTAAATAGTAGAAGAGTGCCATACAATACTATACAGCGAACAGTGGTATGCCATACAATACTGTACAATGTAAGGTAGAGACTGTAGAGTACCATGCAGTACTGTCCAATATACAGTAGAGTACTACATAAAACTATAAAGTGTGCAGTAAATACCATGTACAATACTGTATCATGCAGAGACTGTAGAGTACCATACGACGCTCCACAGTGTACTAGAGTACGATACAATTCTGAACAATGTTCCTTAAATAAGGAACAGCATTGTACAGTAGTGTATCATACACAAGGAACAGCATTGTACAGCAGTGTATCATACACAAGGAACAGCATTATACAGTAGTGCCTCATACATAAGGAACAGCATTATACAGTAGTGCCTCATACATAAGGAACAGCATTGTACAGTAGTGTCTCATACATAAGGAACAGCATTGTACAGTAGTGCCTCATACACAAGGAACAGCATTGTACAGTAGTGTCTCATACATAAGGAACAGCATTGTACAGTAGTGCCTCATACACAAGGAACAGCATTATACAGTAGTGCCTCATACATAAGGAACAGCATTGTACAGTAGTGTCTCATACATAAGGAACAGCATTGTACAGTAGTGTCTCATACATAAGGAACAGCATTGTACAGTAGTGCCTCATACACAAGGAACAGCATTGTACAGTAGTGTCTCATACATAAGGAACAGCGATTGTACAGTAGTGTCTCATACATAAGTAACAGCATTGTACAGTAGTGCCTCATACACAAGGAACAGCATTATACAGTAGTGCCTCATACATAAGGAACAGCATTGTACAGTAGTGTCTCATACATAAGGAACAGCATTGTACAGTAGTGTCTCATACATAAGGAACATCATTGTACAGTAGTGCCTCATACATAAGGAACAGCATTGTACAGTAGTGTCTCATACATAAGGAACAGCATTGTACAGTAGTGTCTCATACACAAGGAACATCATTGTACAGTAGTGTCTCATACACAAGGAACAGCATTGTACAGTAGTGTCTCATACATAAGGAACAGCATTGTACAGTAGTGCCTCATACATAAGGAACAGCATTGTACAGTAGTGTCTCATACACAAGGAACAGCATAGTACAGTAGTGTCTCATATATAAGGAACAGCATTGTACAGTAGTGTCTCATACATAAGGAACAGCATTGTACAGTAGTGTCTCATATATAAGGAACAGCATTGTACAGTAGTGTCTCATACACAAGGAACAGCATTGTACAGTAGTGTCTCATACATAAGGAACATCATTGTACAGTAGTGCCTCATACATAAGGAACAGCATTGTACAGTAGTGTCTCATACATAAGGAACAGCATTGTACAGTAGTGTCTCATACACAAGGAACAGCATTGTACAGTAGTGTCTCATACATAAGGAACAGCATTGTACAGTAGTGCCTCATACATAAGGAACAGCATTGTACAGTAGTGTCTCATACACAAGGAACAGCATTGTACAGTAGTGTCTCATACATAAGGAACAGCATTGTACAGTAGTGCCTCATACACAAGGAACAGCATTGTACAGTAGTGTATCATACACAAGGAACAGCATTGTACAGTAGTGCCTCATACACAAGGAACAGCATTGTACAATGGTGTATCATACATAAGGAACAGCATTGTACAGTAGTGTCTCATACACAAGGAACAGCATTGTACAGTAGTGTCTCATACATAAGGAACAGCATTGTACAGTAGTGCCTCATACATAAGGAACAGCATTGTACAGTAGTGTCTCATACACAAGGAACAGCATTGTACAGTAGTGTCTCATACATAAGGAACAGCATTGTACAGTAGTGCCTCATACACAAGGAACAGCATTGTACAGTAGTGTATCATACACAAGGAACAGCATTGTACAGTAGTGCCTCATACACAAGGAACAGCATTGTACAATGGTGTATCATACACAAGGAACAGCATTGTACAGTAGTGCCTCATACATAAGGAACAGCATTGTACAGTAGTGTCTCATACATAAGGAACAGCATTGTACAGTAGTGTCTCATAGGAGTCAGAATGTGAGTTACGACTTGTACTGTAACTCTTAGCAGGGATGTAATGGTGCCCTTGACCAGTAAAGAAGGATGAGGGATGTGAGGGTTTCAGGAATATAGCAAGACAGAAAAAAAATAAACTCAGCAAAACAGTTACATCTAATCACTGAATTTCAGTTTTTGAAGGTATTCAAAGAACTTTTAATATATTAATTACTCACTTCAAGATCACACAAATAACAAGGTCTAATCAAAATAGAATAATCAAATATTTCAAAAGGACCATAAGGGTGGCGACTGAACCAGCCGTAAGGGGTCTGAACGAGGGCACCATATACCAACTATGGAACATGCAACATCA